CATGAGTGAAGTGGACACCCATTTCCGCGACCGGAGTCTCGGGTTTGGTATATATTTCTTAATGGCTTCAGTCATAGGCTTTGCAGATGTGATCAGATATTGTGAATGATATGGGATTTCACTGCTCTCTAACTGTCGCACAAATATTGCCTTTTCTTCCAATCGTTTGATCATTTCTGACATCTCTTTCTTTTGACCTAAAAATTAAATTAAATTTTAATTTAATATTTTTGGAAAAATTTTATATTAGAATCACAAAGTTAATTATATACCATACGCCTGGCCGAAGGCTGATCGCTTTGATCTTTCAGTTTTTCCCTCAATACACCGTCTATTGGGGAGTGCATTGACATACACTATAACCTCAGTAGACATGCTGTTTTATAATTAAAACTTTGAAATGTAAAAAAATGTTTTTATACAGCTGGAGATAGTTAAGACTAGTAACAATACGTAAAGAAAATAAAAGGATAAAGTTCAGTGTTAATGGGTGAAATACGGAAAAGGACTATGCCCAATCGTGTGATGGGATGCACTTGGGAATTATTGTTATAAAATGAAAATACATTTAATAAGTAGTCGAGTGACATATTTCATGATGTCTAGATGCTTTCGGGTCTACGTAGTGACCATTTTTATTGGTAAAATTTTGAAAATTAAATCTTTTATTTTATAAATAAGTAAATCATTGATATTATATATCAATAGAAATGTATGGATGAAAGGTGTATTTTAAAAAATTATAAAATTCGGAATTAATTAGAAAATGTTATTTCAAAAATAAGAAATTTTGTGACAATTGGATACGTTTTTAATGATAAGTAGCGTCTATTATTTTACTCCACTTATATCAATTTTAATTGCAATTACAGAAATGATTAAATTACTGAAATAAAAATTGGTCAACATTTTTAATGCACAATTTTTGACATTTGCTCAGTTTTTTTTGCGCAAATTCCTTTTTTATTAAACCATTTTAATTTTTTTAATTTGTGAAATTAATTATCGTTGTAAGCATAATTGAAATTGATAAAAATGATGTACAGTAATTACGTTATTCACTATAAAACACTCGCATAACTGTTACTAAATTTCTTAATTTTGATATAACCTTTACCGATTATGTCAGATTTGGAAAATTCCTTCAGATTTCGATTCCTTTCATCCAAACCTTTCTATTGATATATAATATGATATACTTATTTATAAAATAAAAGATTTGATTTTCAAAATTTCACCTATAAAAGTGGTCACTACAATAAATCTTTTATTTTATAAATAAGTAAATCATGTTGATATTATATATCAATAGAAAGGTATGGATGAAAGGTATATTCTAAAAAATTATAAAATTCGGAATTAATTAGAAAATGTTATTTCAAAAATAAGAAATTTTGTGACAATTGAATACGTTTTTTAATGATGAGTAGTGTCTATTATTTTACTCCACTCACATCAATTTTAATTGCAATTACAGAAATAATTAAATTACTGAAATAAAAATTGATCAACATTTTTAATGCACAATTTTTGACATTTGCTCAGTTATTTTTGCGCAAACTCCTTTTTATTACATTTTAATTTTTTAAATTTGTGAAATTAATTATCGTTGTATGCATAATTGAAATTGATAGAAATGATGTACAGTAATTACGTTATTCACCATAAAACACTCGCATAACTGTTACTAAATTTTTTAATTTTGATATAACCTTTACCGATTATGTCAGATTTGGGAAATTCCTTCAGATTTTGATTCCTTTTATCCATACCTTTCTATTGATATATAATATGATTTATAATTTGATGAATACTTATTTATAAAATAAAAGATTTGATTTTCAAAATTTTACCTATAAAAGTGGTCACTACGGCCAGACCCGAAAGCATCTGAACATCATAAAATATGTCACTCGACTACTTATTGAATGTATTTTCATTTTATAACAATAATTCCCAACTGCATCCCATCACACGATTGGGCATAGTCCTTTCCATATTTTACCCATTAACACTGAACTTATAGGAAAATAAAAGAAATGCACAACAATGATCAGAATTGATAGAGGTCGACATATTTTTGTAAAAAAATGTAAAGTTTCAAAATAAATATTTTGTAGTACAGATGACTCCAATATCACATACAGATTGCACTCCCCAATAGACGGTGTATTGAGGGAAAAACTGCAGATCAAAGCTATCAGCCTTCGGCCAAACGTACGGTAAATATGCTGTTTGTATCCAATGTTTTATATTGTCAATAAGCATCATATCCATAAGCATTGGTTTTATCTATTCCATTGTAGTATAATATAAGTTTATCGCAGATTAGGTAAACTATGCAGCAGCAAAACCATAAGTAAATCGTTTAAATAACTTTAAAACTAATTTTTTCACATAAAGGCCCTGATAAAAATTATTTTATCATCGTAAAGCCCTCAAAAAGGTTTTTATACGGTTTTAGCCCTTAAAAGAGAAAATGTGCCAAAATCGGGAATATTCGGGAAAATAAAAGTGGTATATTTTTACTCCATTATAACCCCAAAGACTAAATGCATGATATTCCCGAGCATTCTATTAACTAATTTTAATCGGGAATTCCCGAAGAATCTCGTCTTTAATCATAACATGTTCCAACTAGATCTTGATTCGATCAAATCGTGGTAAATCAGATCAAACGACAATATATGTCAATAAATTGTTAATAAATCATTGTATTTCATATATACTGTATATAACAAAAATTATTAATAAAATTACTTTATCTATAATTTTATAATCTTTTAATTTCCGATATATTCTGTGCACATATTCACGAATATGTTGTGCAGAGAAGTTATACCAGATTTTAAAGGCGTTATAAATTGAGTCGACGTGAATGTGAGGAGTAATGAGAGTCTAAATAACGTAATGATATATTTGGACGTAATTTGTGTCACAAATCGACATTCAATTTCGTGAAGATGGCTGAAGACGACCTCATTGTCGTCGATAGCGACCACATCAACGGTTTCAGAGATAATAAACACACCACTCATTCACTCGAGAACGGCCTCCAAGACGACCAACACTTCAGTGATGCCGAAGACTTTGTCGACGACATCACCGACGATGGTATGCATCCCTATATTGACAACACATCCATCACTCCCTCAATACATGCCATTCATTGACACATTTTTACCGCTAATCGGCTTTAATTGTCCCACTTTTGGCATATTTTAGTTGATTTAGTGATTGATTTAATTGAAAGAAATGTTAGTTTTGATTGCAATGAAAGGGTTGATTGAAATGAATGCAAACCATTAGAGCACCGGTTTGTGAGCCGTAATCCACGTGTTCACAGCTTTTCATTGCCCTATCATTGCATTCATTCATACCATTCGAGTCTATCACTAGTTATAAGTTAATCCGCTATTAATCTCATTAATTAAATGATTTTTTATGTTTTATAAAATGAAATTTAATTATAATTTCAGACCTGTTATCGGATCTATTGAGGAATAAACCGACGGAACACTCGGGTCTTCAGAATGTAGTAATAGTGGATCGCATCCCACAAGTGGGTCCCGAAAAAGCCGATAAATTGAAAGTAGTTTTGGCCAAATTGTTCTCCAAAAGTGGCAAAATTATGAACGAGTTTTATCCGATCGATGAAAATAATCAAACCAAAGGGTTAGCGAAGCTTAATGTCTATTTAACCCCTGTATTGACTTATTGTTTGTTGCCTTTAGTTATGCATTCTTCGAGTTCGAGAATCCCGAACAGGCGTTGGAAGCGGTGAAGTTACTCGACGGACACAAACTCGATAAGCAGCACATCTTTGCGGTGAATTTGTTCACAGATATCGACAAATATTTGCGAATTCCTGACGAAATAGAAGAGCCGGCGAAAGAAGAGTACTCCGATAGAGGAAATCTTCACTACTGGCTCTTAGAGCCCGAGTGTTGCGATCAGTACTCGGTTTTGTATGAGTCGGGAGAGTCGACGGCCGTATATCTCAATTCAATGCCCGAACCAACTCTTGTGAAAGAACGCAAGTTATGGACAGAACAGTCGCTCCAATGGTCTCCTTTGGGCACATATTTGGCTACATTTCATAGACGGGGAATCGCTTTATGGGGCGGCGAAGAGTTCACACAAATGGCTCGCTTTTCTCACGACAGCGTCAGTTTCATAGACTTCAGCCCCTGTGAGAAATACATCACAACATTGAGCCAACCATTAGTGGTGGCCAACGATCCGAACGCCATAATTATTTGGGACATTAGGACACAAACCAAGAAGAGAGCATTCAGTGCTGATCCCACTCAACCACTCATTTGGCCCATATTTAAGTGGTCTTTCGATGACAAATACTTCGCTCGAATCAATGCAGAATCGCTTAGCATTTACGAAACGCCTTCTTTCGGCTTATTGGACAAGAAGTCGGTGAAAATTGCAGGCATTAAGAACTTTACGTGGTCTCCGTCTCAGAACATACTCGCCTATTGGGTGGCAGAGGACCAGAACGTGCCCGCGAGGGTCACCTTACTTGAGATCCCATCGCGTAATGAATTGCGTGCGAAGAACCTCTTCAATGTGGCCGACTGTAAGATGCATTGGCAAAAGTGCGGCGATTATCTGTGCGTCAAAGTAGACAGATATACAAAGGCTAAGAAAGCCGATAACGAGCCCAACAAATACAGTGGAATGTACTATAACTTTGAAGTCTTCCACATGAGAGAGAAACAAATACCAGTCGATAGCTTAGAAATTAAAGGTTTGATTAATTATATAACATTATTGTAGCAAAAATGTTAGTCAACTTGTGTTTGAAATTACAGAACCATAGCATCGTAAATCAACCCTTGGCTGTCCTTTATTTAAACGCAATTAAGTACCGCTTCCGGGCGTCAAATCGCAGTGAAAGATACCGTATTTTGGGCCGCCTTGACAGTAAGTTAATTCATTCTATAAAACCATATTTACTGACAAATACCGGTAATTAAATATGTATTTATAATTGTAGAAAAATTTGAATCGAAACAATGCAATCATCTATTTTGGTCACCGGCGGGACAGTTCATAGTATTAGCTTCTCTAAGGACTAGTAGTTATGTGTTAGAATTCATAGACACTTCTGATTTCACGATTACGAGCACATCAGAGCACTTCCAGATAACTGATGTCGAGTGGGATCCGACCGGCCGTTTCGTTGTAACCGGAGTCAGCAATTGGGCCCATAAGGTATTGTTGGGATACAGAGTTTGTGCGATAATGTATGTGATATAATGGTTATTGTATGATAGGTTGACAACGCGTACTGGTTGTGGTCATTCCAGGGAAGACTGATCCGCAAACATAGTTTAGACCGCTTTTGTCAACTAGAAACCTCTGGGGCTGGCGGTTGGGAAGAGTGGCTTCTCTTCTATTTCCTTCAGGCGTTTTTGGAATTCTTTATATCGCGTGTCAAACTGTAGTTTCTGGCTTACCGTGAGAGCTTCCAGAGCTTCCATATGTTAGAAAAGCGCAGAACTTTAATGAATGAATTCCAAGAAATCCGTCAAAGAAATGAAGAATTGTTTAACTCAAACAAAAAGCGAAGACTAGAGTTGAGAGAAGCAGACAATGATCTTAAGAACAATGAGGACGAGACCGAAGAGACCGTCGAATTCCTTATCAAAGAAGAGGTTATAGTTCTCGACGACGACGACGATTGAAATTAAATCACTTTAATTGTGTATTTTTTCTCAAATACAACAATAAATCGTTTTATATTTAATACTAAATATGAATTAAGTATATATTTATCACTAAATAATTTCGATTATTTTATTTAATAATTTAATAAAACAACTGAAAGAGTAATGAATTGATTGTGACTTTTATACTATTGTATTGTATTTACAGTAAAACATTACAAATTATTACATTCATTGACCACTTGTAACAATTTCTCTCATATCTGTTTGCATATATCAATTAAGTTATAAAACTGAACCCATTTATACGAATGACGAGTGACTTAATGTAGTTTTAAATTTTATAATTAATTAATAGTTTATGTAAATAATGCTGAATTTGTAAGAGTTAAAAGTCCTTCACTAAAACACCTCAAACTTCACTCAAACCTCACACTCAATACTTCTAATGTATTGAAAAAGTTAGCTCTGGTTTGAATGTATGTGAACAATTCTCACCACAATCTGCACTGGGGGTTTACGGTTAGCACCGCTAGTACACCAGAAGTTTACATAATTAAACTTGTTTATTAATTGTATTTTTACACTCTTTAAACAGTAAGTAATTCACTAATCCGTATTACCCCGCTTATAGGTGCATGCACTTATAAGTGAGTTTTCACACAAGGGGTGCACCTATATCCGGATATAGGTGCGGTAGTTTTTGGCACATTTTTGACTTTAAATTGAAATTTACATATACCTTGAAATGAAAGTCGAATGACTTATTATTAATCTTTAAACTCTAAAATGTTACTTTAAATGTTTAAAATCTATATGTATTGTCTTATCTATTTATTAGCTTCATGAATAATGAGTACATTAGTGTAAAATATCTCATATAATGAACACGTCTTTAAGTGATGATTCATCACTAATGAATCAATTCAAATAATCAGTGAATAAATGGATATAAATGAAGAAATCAGTGATAAAAGTGTGACAAAACAAAGAAAGAAATTAAAATGAAGATTTACTTTAAATTATTAAATAATGTATCATCTACCCATTAATTTATTAAAAAATTCTGACAAATAAATTTTGGTGCACTTATATGTGATTTTTACACAAGGGGTGCACTTATATCCAGGTATAGGTGCGGTAGTTTTGGTGACATGCAAAATCTGTGAAATTCACTTATAAATTTTGGTGCACTTATATGTGATTTTTACACAAGGGGTGCACTTATATCCAGGTATAGGTGCGGTAGTTTTGGTGACATGCAAAATCTGTGAAATTCACTTATAAGTGCATGCACCTATAAGCGGGGTAATACGGTAATACATTGAAAAAGAGTGAATGAAAAGTAAGTCATTCGTGACGTCATTGCGATTGACGGCAATGTTTATCACATCAAGTCTTAGACAACCAAATACTCTGCGAAACACTGAATAACTGTTTTAAGCCATTATAAGACACTATTACGCGATTATAAGCGTATTTCTGGTACCCATGAAAGCGTTGCATTCACTCAATGGTATTAGCGATAAAACCCCTGAATATTAGGTAACGTTATATCAAGTGTTGGTTTGGTTTGGCATTTCTGGTTGTATAGCATTGAGAATGCATTGAATGAATGCATTATAGATGTTGTGAGCAGTGATTGAAGTGTTGTATCGTTTGGAGGACTCAGTGAACAAATATGGCGTCAAACCAGTCAACACATCCCGACGAAGAACAGTCTCTTCGCGAGTGCGAGGCTTACGTGCAAAGACACAACATTCAGCAGATCCTCAAAGAGTGTATCGTTCAGCTCTGTGTCGGCCGACCCGACAATCCCATCGCTTTCCTCAGACAGTACTTCCAGACACTCGAAAAAGTGAGTCATTTTTACCAATGGATCCGTTCAAGTGATAGTCACACTCTCTTCGCCACTCATTTATGCCAAACCAATCACTCAAGCCTTTCACTCAATCCATAGCCCTTTCATTGTCTCAATTGTCTTAAGCAGTGATTTAGTGATCCATTTATTGTCAGGCATTTAAATGTTGATCAAAATAAATGCATTTCTCTATTGACTGTCAATTGATTTGATGTTAAATTTAATTTAGTTGTAGTTTGAAAACAACTTTTAGTGTATTTGAGTTTTGCCATAAAATGCCATTAAATGATGCAAATAATGGTTGTTTTGCAATGATTTTTGGCTAAAAAACTAAATTATATTTAAAGCACTGAATATTCAGGCAAATGTCATATTAATCGCAAACAATGAGTGATTGGATTGAATTATTTGTAATTTATTTAAGAGTTTAAAATGATTTTGAAATTATAAATATCTATATATTCAAGATTTACGTTAGACTAAAGCTATTTGTTATTATTTTATGTTTTGTGTTATTATATTGACTCAAAAATCTTTAAATTTTTGAAATGAATTCAATTTGCATTGAATTTGAAATATAAATTAACTTTAAATTGATTACAACATTGCGATGAAAAGTGTATATAATATATGCTTTATATATTTAATATAACTATAATTATTGTTTATTCATTGTATTCACTGAATTTGAACGAAACTTATTTCTGTATAAATGTTGCGATTAATTAGATATAAACTTCAAATAGATTTTATGACTTTTGTTAGGCATAGACTTTGGATTATAATTAATATGTGTTTCATTGCTGTTTGAATTGATGTTTGAATTAATGTTTTGCAATGCATTTGTCTCATAGGAAGAAGCAGTGAAAGCGAAACAAAAGGCTCCGATGTCTCCCGACAACGAACGGGACGACGAATTATCTCCCGTTCCGATGAACACTCAACGCACCCGAAGGGGTGGAGTGTCCGCCGAAACCTATAGCGAAGACGATGTGAAAAATTACGTTAAAAAGGTATTAAATGATAACTATTTGTTGAATTGATTGATACGATTGCTTGACATTACATATAGGTTGTGCCCAAAGACGACAAAGCGAAGGCCTCTCTTGAGAAAGCGATGTCCAAAAATGTGTTGTTTAAACATTTGGACGATAATCAAAGAAGTGATATATTCGATGCAATGTTCGCTGTGGTGCATAAGGCGGGGGAAGTGATCATCAAACAGGGCGATGAGGGCGACAACTTCTATGTGATCGATGAGGGAGAGGTTGATGTGAGTACACCATGAGATCACGTCATGTCATACAATTGCTACGATGACCAACACTTGTGTCCTCTCATACAGATATTTGTCAACAATACTTACGTATCAACAATAGGCGAGGGTTTAAGCTTTGGTGAACTGGCGCTCATATACGGCACTCCTCGGGCCGCTACTGTCAAAGCAAAAAATAGTGTCAAACTATGGGCTATTGATAGAGACACCTATCGAAGGATTCTTATGGGAAGTATTATTAGGAAAAGAAAATTATACGAAGAATTTTTATCCAAAGTTTCAATTCTCGGTAATTTTGATGTTATTTTATATGAAATGAAAGAAAAGGTTTACTAATGTATATCGTATTTGCAGAGAGTCTCGATATTTATGAGAGATTAACAGTAGCCGACGCACTGACACCCGTGCAGTTCGCAGACGGCGATATAATCGTGAAACAGGACGAACCGGGAGACGACTTCTACGTGATAGAAGAGGGAACTGCTATAGTATTGCAACGGAGATCGGCGGACGAGCCGCAGGTGGAAGTGGGCCGACTCGGCAAATCTGATTACTTCGGCGAAATAGCGCTGCTGTTAGACCGGCCGCGAGCGGCCACAGTAGTGGCGAAGGGTGCGCTGAAGTGTGTGAAATTGGACCGTGGTCGATTCGAGCGACTGTTAGGCCCGTGCGCTGACATCTTGAAGCGCAATCTGGAGCACTACAACTCCTTAATTTCACTCTCCGTTTAATGTGTTTAGTGTCGAAATGTTCGCACAAAATAATTACATAAACTTTTAGGTCTTTGTTATAAAACAATTGACAACTTTTAACCGCCTTTTCTTTTTAATCGGATTCAGAATTAAGATAACATTTGAATTCTAAACCATTTGTTTATAAAAGATAAGAAATTAATGGTTTTTACATAAACTTCATTTCGTCAGAATTGCAAACATTAAGAAACGGCAGAAAAATAAATTAGATTTGGATTTCTAGTCATAGAAGATGTCTAACAGTAGATTAGTTTTAATTGAAAAAACATACAATTATTATTAGGTTTTCTTATTGCTCATCAATTGGTTTCTCTTTTAATTCTTTAATTCAATTTTGCAAAAGTCTTTCCAAACAATTTCAAGACTAATGTCTTATACAGTATATAACAGACATAATAATAATTATTATTATTTAATAATAATATTAATAACGACAATAATTATTAAGAAATTATTTTAAATCTAATTTATTCAAAAAATGTCTTATTTTTATTTTCAACGTTTTTGCTTATGATTTGTTTGTTTTTTGTTCACATATTAATTTGCTTTGAAATCATTATATTTGAATGTTTTAAAAACTTAACGAAAACTGAGTTTTGTTTGACAAATATCTAAAATAAGTTTTCACTACAATGTATAGAATTGGCAATTGTTGGCAGTTTTGGTAAAATAACATTGTTTTGCACTTCATTTTATCAATAGTTTATAGCCATTACAATAACATACAGATTATTATATAATATATCAATTATATAAACGTTTTTTAAACTAACTATACATTAATAGACATTTTTGGCGATAAGACTCTAAAATGACTATAACTGTAGACTAAATAATAACTTTTTCTAAAAATAAGATCAACAATAAAATAATATAGAAAACTATGTGTTGTGAGAAAAAATAAATTTATTATTTGTTTTGTGTTTTACTTTTTTCATCACTAGTTTCTCACTTTTCATGAAAATACCTGTACTTCGAAACAAGTGGTGAATTGAAGTGAAAAAATAAAACTAAATTAGTTTCAAATATTCTGGTTGTGTTTTAAGCGCTGAATCGACAATGTTTTCTAACTTTCAACAAAACTATCGCTTTTGGCAAATAACACAATAATAATCATCGCTTGATTCACATACAGTATTATAGATTAAAAACATTTCATTTTAATGGCAATAAATTGTGAATAATTATATCAAAAGTATTTAAAATATTGTTTGTGTGATAAAAAAGATTTCGTTGTGTATCCGAGTGTATCATATCATCGCAAATCCTGTTCTCGTTTTTGTGGTGTTTCCATAAGAAACACAATTTCCGCGAAATCCGGTGTCAAGTATTTTGACGTTTATTTTTCACTACACTTTCAAATCAATAGAATCCTATCCTTTATATGTCATCGCATTTCATACAGTATTTTATGTTTCAATCATTCAATTCATATATTATATAACATTACACTTACTCTGTATTAAAGGCTCAATACCTATATATGGAATAAGTGGAGGGAATCTGTATGATATGTGAGCCCTCCGTGCGAGAGAGAGAGAGCGAGAGAGAGAGAGAGAGCGAGAGAGAGAGAGAGAGAGAAAAAGAAGTGATATATTCGATGCAATGTTCGCTGTGGTGCATAAGGCGGGGGAAGTGATCATCAAACAGGGCGATGAGGGCGACAACTTCTATGTGATCGATGAGGGAGAGGTTGATGTGAGTACACCTTGAGAGAGTCCTTCACTTTAATTACATTTTTATCAAATTCTTCATTTCGATAATCGTTTGATTAATACAATTGAAACCCCCTTTTCCTATAGGAATAGGTTATATAAAATTCTACAAAAGCTTAAGCACTATTGAAAATGTTGTCAATTTGAACAGATATATCATATGTGCCATAAATTCTTGTCATTAGATTAGCAGCAATTGATGAAATCATTCTTTCATTTCAATGCTATATTTGCACCAAAAACTAGTGAATAGTTTTGAAAATAAGTTTTTAAACAAAATATTTGTTGAGAAAGTGGTGTTTCCGGCAGTGTTTGGCAGCACTACTGACACCAGTTATAGCATAGCATAGGAAAAGCATAGGAAGGCATAGGAAGGGTGCGACAAATGGCACTCAACCAGCGCTCACATAAGCGCACACTTATAGGCGCCGCCCATTCACTGCCATTCAGCCAATGGTTAGCGAATATAATGACTGCCATTTCGTTTGGCTTTTTGTTGTTTCGTCACGTTTTATGTAATCATTGGGGAGTTATTCACAAATAGTTGTGACCACTAATCGGACCCTCACTTCACGCCAAACACTGCTATACGTACTGTACATATACTGTACACACGGAGAGTGTGTTATGGTTTGGACGTAATTGATGTCCCGATGAATGAATACAACGATTGTGTGGTTTTGAAGAGAAAAGGCGTGTCTTTTAATGAGACGTTTGAATGAATGGAGTGTTTGAGTGAAGAGTTGTTTGACGGCTGAGGAGAGAGTGAATCCAAAAAACTATTATTATTTCATATATTATTGAATACAATCTTTCATTTCAATGCTATATTTGCACCAAAAACTAGTGAATAGTTTTGAAAATAAGTTTTTAAACAAAATATTTGTTGAGAAAGTGGTGTTTCCGGCAGTGTTTGGCAGCACTACTGACACCAGTTTTAGCATAGCATAGGAAAAGCATAGGAAGGGTGCGACAAATGGCACTCAACCAGCGCTCACATAAGCGCACACTTATAGGCGCCGCCCATTCGCTGCCATTCAGCCAATGGGTAGCGAATATAATGACTGCCATTTCGTTTGGCTTTTTGTTGTTTCGTCACGTTTTATGTAATCATTGGGGAGTTATTCACAAATAGTTGTGACACAAATCGGACCCTCACTTCACGCCATACACTGCTGTACTGTACATATGCTCTACACATGGAGTGTGTGTATGGTTTGGACGTAATTGATGTCCAGATGAATGAATACAACGATTGTGTGGTTTCGAAGAGAAAAGGCGTGTCTTTTAATGAGACGTTTGAATGAATGGAGTGTTTGAGTGAAGAGTTGTTTGACGGCTGAGGAGAGAGTGAATCCAAAAAACTATTATTATTTCATATATTATTGAATACAACGACTAAACCATTGAAACCATTGATCCATTCATTTCTCACATATTTATTCATCGCTTTTATACAAGCATTTCATCGATAGTTTGATTTGGTGTCCAAACAATACATAACAACTCCACTCAATAGCCAGACATCAGTGCCGAAGATGTCGTCAGACGTGAACCGATCGGATCCGGAGTTCAAATTCCTGGCCGTCGACCGGACACTAGTGTCGGACCCGACGAAAGCGGCCGAATGGGCGGCCAAACGACTGGTTTGGATACCACACGAATCGGTGGGGTTTGTGGCCGCGAGTGTCAAAGTGGAGCGAACCGAAGACCTGGAGGTGGAAGTGGTTGACACCAACAAGAAGTGCATCGTTGCCAAGGATGACGTGCAGAAGATGAATCCACCTAGGTTCAACAAAGTGGAAGACATGGCCGAACTCACGTGCCTTAACGAGGCCTCAGTCCTACATAACCTCAAAGACCGGTACTTCTCGTCTCTGATCTACACTTATTCGGGACTCTTCTGTGTTGTCGTCAATCCCTACAAAAAGCTTCCCATTTATACCGATAAAGTGATTGAGTTATACAAAGGCAAGAAACGACACGAAGTGCCGCCACATATCTTCGCGGTGACGGACGCCGCCTATAGGTCTATGCTTCAGGACAGGGAAGACCAGTCCATTCTCTGTACCGGTGAGTCCGGCGCCGGTAAGACCGAGAACACGAAAAAAGTGATCCAATACTTGGCATATGTGGCCTCGTCTAAGCCCCGGGCGTCGACGTCCACTTCATTGCACACATACCACACACCGCCGCCGCCAAACATTATCGGAGAGTTAGAGCAACAGTTATTAAAAGCCAATCCTATTCTCGAAGCGTTCGGTAACGCGAAGACTGTCAAAAACGACAACTCATCCCGATTTGGGAAATTCATACGAATTAATTTCGACGCCTCGGGATTCATTGCCGGCGCTAATATCGAAACCTGTATGCAATTTAACACTATAATCTCTCAATTGACTCAGTATTCAATTATTGCTTTCTCTTTGTTTAGACCTCTTGGAAAAGTCGCGAACCATTCGACAGGCCGTCGACGAGAGATGTTTCCATATATTCTATCAGTTATTAAATGGCACTCAAAGCGAACAAATCCGGGAATTCTTGTTAGAAGACGTGAAAAACTATACATTTTTAACGCACGGCAACGTTCCGGTGCCCGGAGTCGATGAGACACTCGAGTTCAACAATACTGTTCAAGCGATGCAAATCATGGGTCTGTCGCCCGAAGACTTGAGTGCTATCTTCCGAGTGGTGTCGTCTGTCATACTATTCGGTAATATGAAGTTCAAACAGGAGAGGAACTCAGATCAGGCGACTCTTCCCGATAATACCGTCGCTCAAAAAGTCAGTCATCTTTTGGGTCTAAACGTGACCGAAACGATCAAAGCATTCCTAAGGCCTCGACTCAAAGTGGGTCGCGATTACGTGACCAAAGCTCAGACCAAAGAACAGGTCGAGTCGGCAGTGGAAGCCATCGCTAAGGCGTGTTACGAAAGAATGTTCAAATGGTTAGTCCATCGCATAAACCGGTCGTTGGACAGAACCAAACGACAGGGCGCCTCATTCATCGGCATTCTGGACATCGCCGGCTTCGAGATCTTTCAACTCAATTCGTTTGAACAGTTGTGCATTAATTACACGAATGAAAAACTGCAGCAACTCTTCAATCACACGATGTTTATCTTAGAGCAGGAAGAATACCAACGCGAAGGCATTGAATGGAAATTTATTGATTTTGGGCTCGATTTACAGCCAACCATTGATTTGATTGAAAAGGTATTTGATTTTTATCTTAACACTAATTTTAGTGATTAATTGTTTTTGTTGTGACAGCCAATGGGTATTTTGGCACTTCTCGACGAAGAGTGTTGGTTCCCGAAGGCCACTGACAAGACTTTTGTTGATAAGCTGATGAATGCCCACAACCAACACCCGAAGTTCATTAAATCCGACTTCCGGGGAACGGCTGACTACAGTATTCTTCATTACGCCGGAAAGGTATGCGCTGTTTGTGGTCTGATTTGCATTTTGCTCACAACAAACATCTTCATTAAAGGTGGACTATTTGGCCGCTCAATGGCTTATGAAAAATATGGATCCATTAAATGAGAACGTGGTCTCACTTTTGCAAAACTCTTTGGACTCATTTGTTGTTCAGATATGGAAAGACGGTTTGTTTAACTGTTTGTTTTCAATTTTAAGTTATTAATATATTGTTTAACAACAGCTGAGATCGTTGGTATGGGAGTGGCCACTATGGGTGACACTCAGTTCGGCGCCCGAACTCGAAAGGGAATGTTCCGAACTGTGAGTCAACTATATAAGGATCAGTTGTCCAAATTGATGGTTACTCTAAGGAATACGAATCCAAACTTTGTTCGCTGTATTATTCCTAATCACGAGAAAAAAGCGGGCAAAATAGACGCACCGCTTGTTTTGGATCAGTTGAGGTGTAATGGAGTTCTCGAAGGAATTCGTATTTGTCGTCAGGGATTTCCAAACAGAATCCCATTCCAAGAGTTCAGACAGCGGTACGAGTTATTGACGCCGAACGCCATTCCCAAAGGCTTTATGGATGGAAAGCTCGCGTGTGAGAAGATGATTGTGGCGCTCGATTTGGACCCCAATCTCTATCGTGTCGGACAAAGCAAAATATTCTTTAGGGCCGGCGTTTTGGCACAACTCGAGGAGGAGAGAGATATGAAGATATCAGACCTGATTGTCAACTTCCAGGCGTGGTGTCGCGGACTACTCGCCCGCCGTAACTATCAGAAACGACTTCAACAGTTGAACGCCATTCGTATTCTTCAGCGCAATTGTGCGGCGTATCTGAAGCTGCGGAACTGGAGCTGGTGGCGGCTCTACACTAAAGTCAAACCACTCCTCGAAGTGACCAAACACGAGGACAAACTGCTCGAGAAAGAGGATGAGTTGAAACAAGTGAAGGAACAAATGGTTAGAGCGGAACAGGACGTGATTGAGTTGGAGAAGAAGTTCCAGCAAATAGTTGACGAGAAGGCGATGATTGCGGAACAGCTTCAGGCGGAGACAGAACTGTGCGCCGAAGCAGAAGAAGCGCGACTCAGACTCGCCGCTCGCAAACAGGAATTGGAAGAAATTCTTCACGACTTGGAGGCCAGGATTGAAGAGGAAGAGGAGCGCAACCAATCATTGGCCGCCGAAAAGAAAAAACTTCAGTTAACTATTCAGGACTTAGAGGAACAGCTCGAAGAGGAAGAGACTGCCCGCCAAAAGTTACAGCTCGAGAGAGTCTCACTCGACACTAAAGCCAAAAAACTCGAGGAAGACTTCGCTGTTGTCGAAGACTCGAACAATAAGTTACTTAAAGAGAAGAAAGCCTTAGAGGATAGACTCACTGAAGTGTCTCATTCGGCGTCCGAAGAGGAAGAAAAGGCTAAACATTTGAGTAAATTAAAGGCCAAACACGAGGCGACGATCGCTGATTTGGAGGATAGACTCAAAAAGGAGCAACAGGTATGTCATGTGTCATTGTGTTTTGTTATTGCTTTTTATTGTTCATTATTTGGAGCATTGATTCACATATTTTCAAAATAAGGAAAAGTGACGCAAATATTAGTTTTATTGAGATCTATAGATAAGGCATACTTCGGGTGGGCGTTAAGCAGAACTCGTTTACAATTAACTCTAAATATGTCTTATAGAAAATTTTTGGATCATTTAATTAGTTTAGTTTATTTAAATGCTTGCGATATTTGTTTTGTTACTAATATTTATATTGTTTTATTTCGGATATGCATTGATTGAAGTATTTATAAAACTATTTTTCTCATATCTTTGTCTAAAAATCAAGTTATAGCTGAATACCTGTTTTTGCCTCACTTTTGATATAAATATTTTTTGTTGTGATTCACAGATAAGACAAGAGCTCGAGCGCGTGAAGCGAAAGCTCGAGACTGAGCTGAATGACATCAAAGAGCAGTTGAATGAGAAGCGACTGCAAGTGGAAGACCTGCAGACACACCTCACCAAACGAGAGGAATAACATGGGTAATGCTAAGTCTATGGCATAGGGAGAACATGGGTAATGCTAAGTCTATGGCAATGATAAGTCTATGGGTAATGCTGAGTCTATGGCAATGATATGTCTATAGGTAATGCTAAGTCTATGGCAATGATAAGTCTATGGGTAGTGCTGAGTCTATGGCAATGATATGTCTATAGGTAATGCTAAGTCTATGGCAATGCTGAGTCTATGAACAATGCTGAGTCTATGGACAATGCTGAGTCTATCCAATGATATTTCTATGAGTATCATCACAAGTCTAGGTATATCAATGGGACAATGGGATTACAAATGAATCTGCCATAATAAATAGAACTAATTGTTGTCAAAAACATTTAAAATTCTCAAAATAATAATAGTGGGAGTATTCTAACAATAGTATTGAAACATTTAAAATCTTTGATGCATTTCCCGAATTGTGGTTAACGCATAGCATCGCGTGTGATCCTTGTTTGTTGTTGTGATTCGCAGATAAGACAAGAGCTCGAGCGCGTGAAGCGAAAGCTCGAGACTGAGCTGAATGACATCAAAGAGCAGTTGAATGAGAAGCGACTGCAAGTGGAAGACCTGCAGACACACCTCACCAAACGAGAGGAAGAGTTAAGTCAGGCTTTGCTCCGATGCGACGACGAAAGCGCTTCGAAGGCTCAGTCGAGCAAACTTTTGCGGGAATTGGAGTCCCAACTGATGGAAATGCAAGAGGACTTAGAGAGTGAGAAGCAATCGAGAGCTAAGGCTGAGAAACAGAAACGAGATCTAAATGAAGAGTTGGAAGCGTTGAAGAATGAATTGTTGGACTCTCTGGATGTGACGGCAGCTCAACAGGACTTGACAGTCAAACGGGAACAAGAGATGGAACGCCTGAAACGGAGTCTGGAGGAGGAGTCTAGTCAGCACGAGTCCCAGTTCTTAGATATTCGTCAAAAACACGCCAAAGCTATCGACGAATTGAACGAACAGTTGGATAACTTCAAGAAGAATAAGGGGGCGCTCGAGAAGACTAAAGGCAATCTGGAGGCCGAGAACGCAGATCTGGCCAATGAGTTGAAGACATTGAATACCGCTAAACAAGAGAGCGACAGAAGGCGTAAACAAATGGAGACTCAGTTACAGGAATTGGCGGCAAAACAAACGGACACCGAAAGAGTTAAGTCTGATTTAAGCGATCGTACGGTTAAACTGCAGACAGAGTTGGAAACAGTGAGTCTTCAGTTGGAAGAACTGGAACGACGCGCTAGTCATGCCATTAAGAACAGCTCTACACTCGAAGCACAACTCACCGAAGCTCAGGATTTGCTCCACGAAGAGACCAAACAGAAGCTGACGCTCTCTTCGCGTCTCAGACAAGTGGAGGCCGAAAGGGATGCCATTCAGGAACAGATGGAAGAGGAAGAGGAGACGAAGAAGAATTTAGACAAACAGATCGTACAATTGACTCAACAAATGGTAGACATGAAGAAGAAGACTGACGACGAAACAGAGCTCTTGTCTATGAGTGAAGAGTCCCGTAAAAAGTCGGCCAAAGAGTTGGAACTATTGCAAAGACAATTGGAAGAGTCGTCAGTAAACGCAGACAAGTTTGAAAAGTCAAAGAAGAAACTTCAGTCAGAAGTGGAGGACTTGAATATTGAAATCGAGAGCCAAAGATCCAAAGTCTCTGAATTGGAGAAAAAACAACGAAAATTTGACGCCATGTTAGCCGAAGAGAAGGCATTGTCTGAAAGGATTGCCGGCGAACGCGATAACGCAGAAAGAGAGGCCCGAGAGAAGGAGACGAGAATCCTGTCGCTGACCCGCGCTCTCGAAGAAAAGGAGGAACAGTTCGAAGAGTTAGAGAGAGCCAGACGTCAATTGCAGACAGAGTTGGATGAGTTGGTCAACAACCAGGACTCGGCGCACAAGAACTTCCATGACTTGGAGAAATCGAAACGAAGTCTCGAGAACTCAGTGGCAGAACAAAAGGCACAAATCGAAGAACTGGAAGACGAGTTGCAACTGAGCGAAGACGCGAAACTGCGGCTCGAGGTGAATATGCAGGCGCTTAAGTCACAGTTCGATCGCGATATGTTGGCGCGCGAGGAACAGGCGGAGGACAAGCGACGACTTCTCCTCAAACAGGTCAGGGATTTGGAGGCAGAGTTGGAGGACGAGAGGAAGCAAAAGGCGGCCGCAATCGGCGCCCGCAAGAAACACGAGAGCGAATACCATGATTTGGAACAGCAGATGGAAATGGGAAACAAACTGAAGGAAGACGCGCTCAGACAGTATAAGCGACTTCAGGCGCAGATGAAAGACTACCAGAGAGAGGCCGAGGAGGCGAAGGGCATGAGAGACGAACTGATAGCGCAGGCGAAAGACGCCGAAAAACGTGCCAAATCTTTAGAGGCAGAAGTGGCTCATCTTCAGGAAGACTTAACTACCAGTGAAAGAGCCCGTCGGACGGCTGAGAACGAACGCGAAGAGCTCTACGAAGAGAACAACTCTTTAGGTCCGCTCAGAGCTCTAATTCAAGACGAAAAGCGCCGAATGGAGGCTCAGTTGAGTCAACTCCAGGAAGAACTGGAAGAAGAACAGAGCAATTCAGAGATACTGATCGATAAAGTCCGCAAACTTCAGACCCAAATCGAAACGCTTACCACTGAAAGTGCGGCCGAAAAGTCGAATTCGCAGAAATTGGAGAATTCAAGACTTGTTATCGAACGCCAAAACAAAGAACTTAAATCCAAATTACAAGAGTTAGAGACTTCTCAGAGGACTAAAACCAAAGCCACGATCGCAGCACTTGAGGCCAAAATCCTACAGTTGGAGGAATCGCTTGAACTCGAGACTAAAGAACGACAATTGGCGGTCAAAGGCGTCCGTAAAATGGATAAGAAGGTGAAAGACGCTCAGATGCAGGTCGAGGACGAGCGCAGACACGCCGACCAGTATAAGGAACAGGTGGAGAAAGTGAACAATAGAATCAAAGCACTCAAGAGACAGTTGGATGAGGCGGAGGAGGAGTGTTCGCGAGAGAAAGGCATTCGCAGGAAAGTGCAGAGAGAACTCGAGGACACTCTGGAGGCCAACGAAGCGCTGACCAGAGAAAATGGGAACCTTAAGAATAAAATAAGGTATTTGTTAGCCTATTATTATATTATGCTTTGAATATTAATATCGGGTTTTGTTGAATAGACGTTCGGGTGGATCGGGCGGCGCCTCCCGAAGCTATCTGAACAACAAAAGAGGTTCAATGAGTGGAACGGGTGACGACGGCTCTGTGGGTTCACCGCTTGACGACGACAGTCCAGCCAACGACGACAGTCCCGCTTAACTTAAATAGCATTTGAATATATTTTTATAATTATTATTTGCAATTAATTAGCGTTTTATTCAATCAAATAATGAATGGGATATTCATTTGGAAAGGTTTTGGAATGCATTCATAAATACTATTTGTTTTAGTACTGCAATGATTTGATAACAAACAACAACTCTTTGCCTCAATATTGCCTTTAAATTGATTTCAAAATAATATAAACATTCCCTACCAAAGGATAGCAGAGAGCAACCTCTCGGCATCCATTCCGTTGCCTTTTTATGATAAGCACTCAAACTTTTTATCAAATTTTGATACATTTGTCAGCATTTCTTGAAACAAATTTATTATCAAATTTTTAATTTTTCTATAAATGTATTTTAAAACCGAATGTGAGTTATAGCTAAAGTTTAAGCATTTATTTATGTACTAAATTATTATTATTTTGTTAATTAATAACGAGTTGAAAACACAGAGCAAAACATTAGGCATATATGAGATATGATTTCCATTTTATTATTCGATAAGATTTGTAAAAATATTTTTGCTTTTTATATAAAATTAATTTAAAGGTATTGTTTATAATAAGGTTTATCTGTTTATCGCATCGCATATATAACTTATTAAGAAATCATATCTTTTTTAAACAACAAATACAATATAAATATATTTATATAAAATTTGAGATTTTTTTGATTGAAATATAACTTATTTTTCTGAACACTCGAATGAGGTAATCGTCGTCTCGTACTTCGAATCAGTATTTTTGAAATAATTTGTAAAATGAATTAAATCAACAATTATTGATATATTGTTGACTGATTTTGCCTTAAATTAGTTTAATATTTAAATCTTAATTTTATTAAACTATATTAAAAATTAAGTTTTAATACATATTTTTGTTCAATTATTTATTTTCCATCTTATGCTTCAAATTTTGTTATAAATCAGAGAGAGAGAGAGAGAGAGAGAGATGACATACGTGAAAAATGTCATCAAGTATTACAGTACAACAATGATAATAAATTAATGTTAACCCGTTTATAAGTTTCATAAATAAATCATCAAAATGTGAAGTGAATATAAGTTTAGTGTTTAATTCTTAAAGAATTAGTCAAATTTCAAGGAAGGATTGATAAGCTATAATAAGTTCACTATAATTTATTTATTATTAGTAGAACAATAATACTGCAAATTGTTGTTTCAGCTAAATTTACATTGTTTATTAAAAATAGTACTTATGACACTATTAAATCATTTATAGTATAAATTTTATACTACAGTATTAACAAAGTTATACAAAATCATATGAAATACTGTAGTTAAAACCAAGATTACATTCTATGTGATTATATCACTGAATAGAGTGAGATATCAATAGTTAAGGCATTTTTTGTGATAGAGTTTGGCGCAAATGGGAAGATGTCTAGTGATGGCATCGTCGTTGAATCGGCGCTTACAGTAATGGCACTGTTGTTGAGTTGACGCTGTTATCTGGCGAGTGGTCAGACCGGTATTTGTCTGTCCCTTAGCCTCTCGTATGGCTGCCATACAATATTCATGCTTTTGTCTCCAATTCCATAACTTTGGCTGTTCTTCTCGTTTATTCTATAAAAATATAATTTGCATATAAAATGTTTAACATTATAACCAAAGTATTAATTAGTGCTAAACATACCGTTAAACCATTTTCATAAAACTTCAAATATTCTGTTGGCTTTCCTTTAAATCTTTGTTTTGTTGAATCAAACCTATCGCGGGATTCATTGGCCACTGCTTTACAAACCGATTCGTGTTTCTCTAAGCGTTCGGTTAATGCGAAATATCGGCCACAGAAACGACATGGAGTTCCTTCCGCTCCCAATTTAGAGGCACTTCTGGGACTGTCTTTCGGAGAACTGATCGGACGTCTGGTTAATCGCGGAAATCCTTCACTTTTTAGTTTCATATCTTTGTTGTCATTTTTGTCAATAATTTTGTTTAATTTTAATGAAATTTTTTGATTATTATTATTACAATCGGAAAGTCGTTTCGACTCTTTATTGACGGGATTTTTAACAAAATGTTCTTTTGAAACAGTAGTTTGTCTTGGAATTGATCCGAAATCACTTTTGTCATCACTTACTCTAGAAGTGCTAGAAAATGGCTTTTTGTCATCTTTTGCGGAATTGTATCCAATATTTGATATTTTTGAGAGATTTGACAATTTGGAAAAAACTCTTGGAGTATAACTATTGTCACTGTTGTTATCAAAACTTTGATTTTCCACTTTTATATAATGTATTTTCGATTCTTCCGGGGCTAAAGTAAGTCTCTCTCTGAATTGATTTCGCATTTCATCCAATTTTGAAGACATTTTTACCTAATTTTACAATTGTTTAACAAATATTGTGTAGAGTTTGGTCACTAAGAAAATTAAAGTGATTTTTGTTTGCAGACTATTCTTATAAACAATTTTCAGTGACATTCAGTCGACTCTAAACTCCTAATATGGGAATTGAAGGTCTTATTAACAATCAGAGCGTAAGTGTGGGTCGAATCGACGGCTTTTTGCTATTAGTTTTGAAACAATTTTACACTTTATTCAACACATTATTCTGTGCTTTAATTAATATTTCAATAAAAATGTTTTAAAATTATTTAATAATTTATTTGTTTAGTATTCATAACTTATTAAAATTTTAAAATTATGAAAAAATTATAGTTATTATGAGATTCAATCAATTAATTCCGAATTGTATTGACACTAACCAAAAATATTTATAGAAATAATGCAGTATATTATAGACATGTATTGATATATCAATGATTTAATACTATATTCAGGGCTAACCTTATATCAAATTAAGGAGTGGAAAGAGATTGATATTTTTGGTTAAGAGAAAATGCTTTCTGTGTTATAAAAATATCGTTAGTATTGGCAATGGATTCCGTGTCCCTCACAATAAATCGCTTATTAATTCAATACAATGAATGGCCAACCGATTGGATACAGACACACAACTAGTTTTTATAAAAATTAAATATAATTTACGTTATTGTTTACGATTGTAATTCAAATAAAAAGTCAAAAATAAATCGCTTATTAATTCAATACAATGAATGGCCAACCGATTGGATACAGACACACAACTAGTTTTTATAAAAATTAAATATAATTTACTTATTGTTTACGATTGTAATTCAAATAAAAAGTCATGACAATAGTGTTTATTAAAAATCTTTTGTTTTATTTATAAGTATTTATATTTAAACAAAAACAAATGTGAAATAAAATCATTTAAAATGATTTGTACTTTAATTGAATGCTTTATACAAAATAACAAAATTAAGCACAAAATGTAACTTATATTATAAGAAAGCAGTGGTTAATAGGGTTGAGTCAAAACAGACTCGTCTTCGCTGTCATCGATGATCGCGTCGTCAAACCATGAGGAACAGGATGTGGACGTCTCGTTGGCCAGTATTGCTGACGAGGCATTTGAAGGCGGCATCGCATCCACTGATAGACTGTTACTGTTAACACTATGCCATCGATTATTACTCGAACCGCTGCCCAAGTGATGACTTTTGGACACATGTCCGCCGTGTGCGTCCTTTTTCAGTCTCTTCTCTTTCGCTCTTCTGTTTTGAAACCATACCTTCAAATAGAACTACTTTTTAGTTCATCATCATCATTAGAGAGAGAGAGAGAGACTATTGATGATTAAATACGAGGTTGAATACCTGGACGACTCTCATATCTAATCCCGTGTCATGACTGAGTTGTTCCCTTACATGTCGGGCAGGTTTTGGAGAGTTATTGTAAGCAATTTTCAGTGTTTCCAATTGTTTGGCTGTAATCGTAGTCCGGGGTCTTTTAGACGACGACTCTAATGTATTTTTGTTATATTTTAAACATTAGTCATAATTTCTAAATAAATAAATTATATTTAAATCATTGTCTAACGAAATAAAGGAAATTATATAAAATGAACAAAATTCTACAATGTCTACAAAATAATACTCAAAAACACAGTTATTTAATTCAAAAACATAATATTAATAATATTGTAAATCAAATTAAATAAATTTGTATAAAAAGTTGCATTTAATTTAAGAATATCTATAATTAATTTTTCCAAAATATACGAAATAAGAATGATATTAATGTTTTTCTAACTAAATTCCAACTATGTTATGATAATTTTATTCTATAATTGATCGAGATGGAAAGAGACACTTTATGCTACAGTGTGTAATACAAAAGTAGCCCTTTCCATGCAGACCATCAATTGTTTATATCTTAATCTTAATTATAATTTGTATCAATTGAGAACATTATAAATAAATAAATACTTTATGAATAAATAATAAATAAATATGTTATAAGAATGTATAATATATTATATATTATAAGAATGATGTGACTTGTGTGATAATATTACCTCGTTGCTTTGCTGATTCATAGTCTGTCTTACAAACCAATTTGTTATCTTCCATTAAAACAAAATTCTACAATGTCTACAAAATAATACTCAAAAACACAGTTATTTAATTCAAAAACATAATATTAATAATATTGTAAATCAAATTAAATAAATTTGTATAAAAAGTTGCATTTAATTTAAGAATGTCTATAATTAATTTTTCCAAAATATACGAAATAAGAATGATATTAATGTTTTTCTAACTAACTTCCAATTATGTTATGATAATTTTATCCTATAATTGATCGAGATGGAAAGAGACACTTTATGCTACAGTGTGTAATACAAAAGTAGCCCTTTCCATGCAGACCATCAATTGTTTATATCTTAATCTTAATTATAATTTGTATCAATTCAGAACATTATAAATAAATAAATACTTTATTTATTTATAAGAACATAATATGTTATAAGAATGTATAATATATTATATATTATAAGAATGATGTGACTTGTGTGATAATATTACCTCGTTGCTTTGCTGATTCATAGTCTGTCTTACAAACCAATTTGTTATCTTCCATTAAATAAAATTCATCGCCTAAATCATAATCAATATATAAATTATTATATTATACTTAAGGTTAACAGTAAACTAAAATCTACAGTGTACAGTATATGACAGTAATATTATTCTGTTAATACATTTTTAAAATTTTATATTATTCTATAAATGTAAAATATTATTGATAGTATAAGTTATACTGTATAACTAAATCAATTTATTTTCTCCATTATAATAAAAGCATAGTTATATGCAATTCTAAATTATTAGTAAAGATATAAATTGTATTTAAATATTAAGAATAGCGCTGTGCTTATGATAAATTTTTAATGGAAAAAACAGAATTTCTCAATTGAATATTTAGCCAAACAATGATTAAAAAATTTGTAAAAATATGTTTTTGTAATTAACAAATAATAATATATTATTAATAGTAAATAGTGTGAAAAATTCTAAACACAAACCGGTATTTAAAGCTCTTTTACAAAGTATACAATTAAAACAATGCATGTGATAGACGTTATCCTGAGCTCGTCTTACAATAGCTGTCGGCGCTATTCCTATATCGATAAAAATGTGACTTTAATGACAATGTGTTTGAAATATGGTTATGAATAAATTACCAAGTTCACAATTTGCACATTTTGTTTTGGCGAATCGTTTATAGAAGTCATCTTTGCAATAGGGCTGTCCGTTCCTCATATAACACTTTACAGTTAGGCTTGAATGACAGTCACAACACACTAAACAGCCTATAAATGAGACCAATGTTTTGACAATTAGTTTAATTGATTTCTCTTCTGGTTTAGACAATAGATACCTGAGTGCCAACACGTATGCCTTTCGTTGTCGTGGCCTAACTTTAATATAAATCTATCAAATATAACGCCATCGCATCCATTACAACGCGGAAGGGTATCTGAAAGTACATTATTTTCGTAAGCATTCAATTCTTTGCCAAAAATATAAAGAATAAACATTAAGTTTAATATTTAAAATTAGACAACGATTTCTCGGTTTTAAAACAATAAAATTTAATAATTTTAGACAAAAAGTTAACGATTTTACTATAAAAAGTATCATTTTATGATACTTTAGTGACTAATGTTTTTGAATCATTAATGTCATACATGTAAAGCTTTTATGCATTTTTCTTCATTTGTATTGTTTGATGTTTGAAATAATACTAAATATTAATATTGAATAGAAATGTTGGTTAACTATTAGGAAAAAGCAAATCAAGTCTAAAGCCTGAATGAAATGAAGAGTCGTGTTATGGGCTATTCATCGGAACACACAATGGTTTGAGAGTATATGAAAACTTCCTCTCAGGATATATCACATCAAATCATTTGCTCGTCTCTCTCTCTCTCTCTCTCTCTCTCTCTCTCTCCTCCCCTGTATATGGCCTACTCTTTTAGGCATCGGTCCATAGCGGGGCTCATCGCATGGCTGGTACGGCTCAGGTGTGTTTTACAGGCTTTTATGTGAACCATATATTACAATAATGCACTCATGCACTCAAGTCAGTCAATACATACACGTGCCGTCGGCTCGACGCTAATGCATATACAGAGAGCACACGCGACACGACTTCCAATTAGTTATTACTACCGATTCGTCATATTTTTTGCTCGAATTTTATGCTTATTTTACAATCAATTCATGAATTTTGAGTCAAAGCTGGCAATAAAATGCTGTTTCAAACACTAATTCTTTATATTTTTGATCTTAACTTTAATCACAATTAAGAAATGTATTCCTATTGTCAATAGGCTATTGATTACAAGAATACATTTGTAAACATGTTTTGTATCAAAATTATAAAATCAATTTATTCATTATTGTTATCAAGAAAACGATTTAATTTGTTAAAGATTTGCAGAGGATTTTCTTAAGATTAGATTTTGTTAGTTTGTGTTTTGAAATTGGTTATCTCACATTTGTTAGAATTATAATATTAATAATTAAAGTGGAACTTATTTTAATGACTTATTTTATACACAAAGTTTAGATACGCAAAGTTATGATTACTTGACTGCAACCGAAACAAATGGTAAATATTATCAGCAATTAATTCTAATAGTAATCATATAACTGTAAAACAAAATTTCAAGACAACATATTTATTAACAAAATACTAAAAAAAGTTAAAAAATTGTTGTTTTTTAGATTAGAAAACAAAAGCTAAAGAGCTATAGACTGATGAGGAGAATACACAATAGCGTATACAGAATAACATTGAGTATACGGTATATATTGAGTGATATCGTAGAGTATGTATGGTATGTATAGTGGAGTGGAGGACATGTAAGACACGCACAACTACTCATACGGGTGTCGTTCGTTTTGATAGGCGCTCGCTATGAACGTTATGAACCATCTGCTGATGATATGCTATACAAGTATTCGAGTTAATGGAAAACATTATAGATATTATTAGCACCGGGCTATTGAGGTGAGTCGGGTGGAGCTGATTGTGGCCATAGTAACCGCGCCGAGTAAACCACTTCATAAGTATTTTTCACTGCTTCAGACGATGTCACTAATGTTGGCTCCTATTGTACTGTCAGTGCCTAATGTTTTAATGTTGCGTTTGTATCATCTCTGGTAGAGATTCTCTGCTTTACTCTAGTCTTCTCCCATACAGTGTATGCGATTCAATGCTTTTATGATCCAAACACTGCTTTTGACTTTTTGTATATTTACTTCAAATATATTCAAATTGATTCAATCATTATAATATTGATTTATATGTTATAATTGAAAAAAGTTTATTTTAAGGGAGTTTAGATTTATACAAAATTAATAAGTTACCAGAATTGACAAAAACTAAATGCAAATAACGAGAAATTAAGAAAAATATGTTTTGAGTAAATAGTAATGAAATTAATTAAAATTTGAAACGATATGCAAGAATAGTATGTTAGAGATGGGGAGAGAGAGAGAGGATGTATGGGTTGGTGTGAAGTGAGAGAGTGTTAGACAACAGGCTCTACCAATTTGTATTGAAGTCAAAGGTTAAATGTTGACGGAAACCACAAAAAGTCGCACAGAGTTCGCAATAATTGAATTGTGTTTTGCGAGCAATAGCTGAGGGATTGAGCGCTCGGATCGACTGAATGGTTACTTTTCACAGAAGAATGCATTTGTTGGCCAAACTGTTTAGCGATGGGATGTATGGGATGTGCACTTTAGGGTTGGCGCGTGCTTTGCGCTGTCGATTTGTCAGGGGGGCCACCAATGGGGCAAAAAGTGATTTGAGTAAAAGCATTTTAACTTGATTACTTGCCTGTTCAACACAACACACATACAGTACAACAGCGTATATATCTATTGATTTTTTTTACTGAACGCAATACGGCTTAAATGTATTTGTATTGAGTACTAGTTTTATGTGATATAGTTTTATGAATATATAATTCACACCATTTATGCATCGATTTAGAAGTTTTTCAATGCTTTCAAAACATAAGTGAATAAATTGAATGAAATGAATATTATTTGTAAATAAGACTAAAAGTTGAGACGATCTGAATAAGTGTCCGAAAGGGAAAAGGGATTCAATAATAGCGTTATCTCTATATATCTGTAGTGATGATAATGATCCTCAAGAGTCAGCTCCAGTACAGACCAGAGACCGGTTGGCAGTGTTGGCAGTGTTATCACTGTTATAGTGATAGAGGTTTTGGTTGGCTTTATATAAAGCTTTTACTATCGACTAAATGGCATCATTTCAGTGCAGGACATATAAAACACCATTAATGCAGTGAAGTATCATTACAGGCATTACAGCCATACGAATACGGATTGAATGAATGATAGCTTTGAATGCAGTGAAAGAGGAGGAGAAGGCATCGATTGATGAGCACAAGTCATTGAGGGGTCATTTAATACACTTTCACTCAACTATCACTTCGGATAGGTTTGCGCTCATCAAAGATGCGGCCAAAAAATAAACACATCTAAGGGTAGCAACAAATATGTTGTGCAACAATCATGTCATCTTCATTTCTAAATGTCATAACTATTTCCTATTTTTAGTATACATTCAATGTCTTGCAATACTAACCAAAATTAATTACTAAAAATAGTGAATAAAAAGCAAAATAATAGCATATATTCAGTATATATGGTGTCAGTGTTTTTTGAATAAAGTTGTTGACTTGCGGTGCAATTCTTTTGATCATAAATGTCTTATTTAGTTGTATTGAAATATCTGAACGGATAGATCATAAGCAGAACTGGTATCTAAAGCCGACAATACAACCCATGGATATTAATCTGATGGATGGAAGGCAACAATAATAATCCGGAGCTAACCTGCAAACAATGCACATCTCCACCGACTACTAGTGCACTGAAGTTGTAGCTATAGTTTGCAGCCAAAGCCTCTTTTCAGTGCCTGTACTATACTGTAGTGCATTGTAAAGCACGAGTCAAAAAGCTGTCTTCTATTCTCTCTCTCTCTCTCTCTCTCTCTCTCTCATGGTTTCCGTCAACATTTAACCTTTGACTTCAATACAAATTGGTAGAGCCTGTTGTCTTACACTCTCTCACTTCACACCAACCCATACATCCTCTCTCTCTCTCTCTCTCCCTCTCCCAATGCTCTCTGTGTTCATGTGTTGTACAGAGCACTCCAACAGAGACTCACTGTTCCTACTGTTCCAACAGTTCATCTGTTCATTGAAAGCAGTATAGAGTCAAAAGGCTGATCCACTCATATATATAAGGCATTAATACTCATACAGAATATACGATCGTAAAGACTGAACCTATAATACAAACGCATGTCTGCATTAGACGAGCGCTGCTCTCAATCCTAATCTCGATTAATGCACGAAATCAGGCAAATCAGACTCAAAGATGAACCAAAATGTCTGTCCATCTGCTAGTTCTCTGTGTTCTATCAGTTTCACTGTCTGTTTGCTTTTGTTTTCAATTTTATAATTACATCATAAAAGACAAATTTTTAAGAAACCCTAAGAAGCCTGAAAACAATGGCATTCATTGAATACAGAATTACTGCATAAGAATTGACATTAAATTAAATTAAAGGCCATTAAATATAAGATAACATTTATATAGAACATTGACAGCTGTGACCAAATTTGCTTTATTTTGATATAAAAACTGGTGGTCCCACAGAATATCACACAATATACCGAAATATAGTGAAAAAGTGCACATAAAGGAGGGTTTGCTATAATTGAATTAACTAATGTGTAATTGTGTTTACTTTCAATAGGATTGAAGTAAACCTAAAAATAATACATCTCATCATTTTAAGATACTTATCCCTATTTTTTCTTTGTTTATTACTTTATGATTGTACACTAATTTATACTTTTTGCCGTTTATCTTAATCTATCATTTGTTGCTAATTTTAATCATTTTTTATATATAAGGTATAATTATTTTTTTCATCATTATAATAATAACGATATAGTGATATAAAAACATGATATCTATACTAACATTATTATATTATTTATTTTAAGGTTATGTAACTTTTATTCAAGTAAACCTTCAGTACATAAAAGTTAAGCGTATTTACAAGTGTTTAAATAAACATTTTTTCTTTCTTAAAACTTAATAAAAATGCAGTCAAATATAACAGTTATTCAGTGAAACATCAATAAATCTACATGTTTTTGATAGTTATGCAAACAATTACATTGTTTTTATAAAAAAAATCATTAAGTGTTGTAAAAATATTAGCTGTACTGCAGTGAAGTGTTATTTCGAGAATCACTTGAATAATCACAAAATATTCAATGAAAAGGACATCTGTTTTATGTACTCTCATATTAAACCGATTATTATTTTAAATCAATTTTATATAAAAAGTTAATCTAACTGTTAGTTAAATTGGACAAAATTAGCCAAATGTTTTTGTATTCAAATATTTGTTTACATATGTGAAATGATCTCTCTCTCTCTCTCTCTCTCTCTCTCTCTCTCTCTCCTCTTCTAACTCACAATCTATTATGTCAAATACGAGGGCGAGTGAGAGTACAGGTGACAATAAAATATATGCACATATTATGTGATCCACTGTCTCTACTGTCGAGTGAATCGCAGGTGATTTTTACCACAAATAACAGTAAAGCAAAGAAGTTTTATTTATTTCATAATCAAAGCAATGTATTGCAAATGTTTGGCAATAAATTTAACAAATAAACCACAAGACGTAATGATTCAATGAATAGTAACTAATTACACATCAATTCAAACAATTTCATTTGCTGTATATTAAACACTCTTCGAAATTTTGGAATCACTTACAACTTTTTACAGTCGTTTTGTGAGTGATAAATGATCATGGTCAATTATTTTTAAAACATGAAATATCGGGATTGATAATTAATTTTGTTGTTGTTGAACTTTCTGTATCCATGTGTTATTAGGCAACTCCACCCAACAAAAAACTACTGTACATGGTAAAATGTTTACTAACTTTATCATTTAATCAAGGATAAAAAATTAGCTGAACATACAGAAACAAACAACCAAGGGGTTCTCAAAACTTGCAAGACTCCTAGGTCATTTGTGCTATCAACTCTGACTTTGCAGGATAGCCAGTTACCCGACGATAAACTTTGCAATTGACAACATATATGGAATGTGCCAACACATGCTTGTTTAGCAAATTTAAGTTATAATTGCATCCAAAAAGACAATTTTGTATAAAGAATAGTCAAATGTTTACAATACACACACTTTTATACACAAAATCTATGCAAATGTCTTATTTGAATGTTTATACACTTTTGATCATTTTTAATTTCGGACAACTTGTTTAATTATATCCTAGATCATGTAATTCTGTATATCACAATCAGGTCGCACATTTGTATTGCGAGGTTGTACTGTATTGTTAGTTTTGTACTTTAGTAATAAAATTACTAATGTCAAATAAAGGTATATTATAGAATCTATAATATAGATTTACAATACAAATTATTGCTCATTCACTTATGATTATTTACAATTTCATTTGAGCTTGGAAGTTAATGTCCAAGATCATTCATGCTATCAAGAATCTGACTTCACGGAATCATAACCTGATACTCGAGGTACAAATTCGCCCTTAACACTATATGTATATGTAATGTAGAATGTGCATGGTTGTTTGCCATAGTACACAAAAGTTTTCCATAGAGAATTATGTCATCTACCCTGTCAATAATCAGCCAATTGGAAAATCGAATATTCCCCAAACAAAATGAGCTAGATTAAATCTGTAAATTGTAAGATAAAGTTCCCTATGTCTAGTTTTTTTAATCTGAAAAAATTATTAAAATCGCGCAATAAAATCATAAAAATTTTTGGGACATTTCGAAAGGTCATGGTTTTAGCCCAGTTTAAAGGGGTATGAAGAGAGGCGGGTATGCTATTTGGTAGAGGGGATGTCAAAGTATATGATAGCAAAGTTTCGTAAACATCAAATAAATATTCTTTTGTAACGAACAATAAATTAAAGAAATTTGACAATATTTAGAAAAAAATACCCAAAATTTGTTCTTTTTTATACTACATTTCCGTAGTTTAAAAATATGACTCCAAAACCATTTTTCCCATAGACCTAATGTTAATAAAATTAACAATTTCTCGTAGATGACTGAACTAATCTGAATTAAATTTGTTTATTATATACTTTGACACCTTTACTACTGAATATCATGCCCGCCCTCTCCGACCCCCCTTTCAACTAGGCTAAAATTATGACCTTTCGAAATGCCCCAAAAATTTCTACGATCTAGTCAAGTGATTTCAATATTGTTTTTTTCAAATAAAAAACTAGACATATGGAACTTTATTTTACAAATTAGACCTAGCTCATTTAGTTTAAAAGATATTCTGGGAGTTCTTGCAAGTGTTTGGGAACTTCTTATTTGTCTCGTAATGAGACTGCGATTTTGTATTGCATTGTATTTTATTGTATTGTATGTGCGGTTTTCGTAAGAACCAATAATTTAAAAACCAGAGTGTTAAAATTGATAAATTTCCATGTTGCAATTGAGTTATTTTAAATACTTATTTGACGTCAATTGAAAATCAAATGATCAAAAATCACACATTTAACCGAATTATTTAAGCCAAAAAGCCTAACTTGTAAGTAATGAAAACAAAGATGTAGAAGTATTATGGTCAGTTTGGTATCATGTAAATAATATTCAAGATATCGCATGTGAAGGTGTGAATTGCATGAACTCAGGCACCAGTATAGCACAGCCAAGAGTTTAATAATCCTCTTTCATTACAACCATGTCTTCTATTTATTAATTCTTTAAGTAATTATAATTTTATGTTTTAAATTGAATTAAAAATCAACTAAATGTCAATTTAAACTCAAACTCAAAAATTTCAGTAAAAATATTTAAAATTGGAAATTTCATTAAAGAATATGCATCTCTATCTCTGACTCTCTCTCTCTCTCTGTAAGGAATTTTATTATATCTTTCATATAAATAGGAATTGAAGTCGAGATAATATATTAAATGTATAGAATATTATAAATAACAACCCGGCGTTTAGTATTCATCACATTCATCGCCACCTCTCTCTCTCTCTCTCTCTCTCTCCTTTGTTTGTATAGGAATAAGATGTGAGTAAAAGACAAACCTTGTAGCGCCTTATTGTTGGCCAGAGCAGGGAAGAGGTGTTCGTCCATCATTTTAAGTCTTATATAATTTGATTGGCTTTAGTTTAAAAGCAGTTTAAAACACTGGTTGATGGGAAGGGGGTATCACTACTGACCCACTACTGGTTTATCAATTCATACAAAATAAGTGAATAATAATCCAATTGCCGCCAATTCTTTGCTCTATTCTTATAATTTTGGTTTCAATAATAATAAACTAAAAGTATTGCAAGAATTTTTGTGTCTAATATTAGAGAATAATATTCTGGATGTGTCCCCACGTGTGGGCACGTCTGGAATCGGCACATGCGTTGCCGACCCAACACTCCTATTGGAAAGGCCTCTGAAAATCAATGAAGGCTTATAATCACTACCACTCCTACATATCATCACAATTTTGAGGAAATACTTATATTTATGCAACAGTTTTCGATATTCCTCCATATCTTTGTAAGATTTTTGTGATTCATATTCTTTAAGAGAAAACCAAAATTATTGGCATTTCGTCTCAAAAAACGGTTGTTTATTGAGTGCAATATTGCAAATACTATATAATGTTGAGTTTTTATTACATAATTTTATAATATTTATTTCGATAAAAACAAATAATATAGTTTTAGATAAATGACATCACTGTATATTTATTATACGATTTCTTTTTTAAAAATTATTAACGTAAGTTTAAATAAAAATTCTTAAGCAAATGAGATTAATTAATAAAATTCATTAAATACAATTACACGTTCAAATGATTCAAGAGTTACAACGAGCTTATGTCTAACTAATAAAATACAAATTTACAATAATTCAACTAGTTATTAGGTATAACTCTGGTTAACAAAATAGTAGTATTGGCACAAAAAGTTGCA